ATCATAACAGGGCTGCCTACTACTGCAAAATAATTTGATAATAAAAAGTTGACTATCTAAAACTAAATAATAATTTATTAAAGATATAGGTATAACCCTAAACCCATGTGTGTACAAAACGGATTCGAAACTAGTCGGGTATCCTTACAGAAATCCTAATAATAAGACACTTATCTTGTATCACTTATCACGTCCCTTGTTGGTATCCGACTTATACGACAGTAAAACCTATATCATCTCTAATAGATATGTTTTATACTTAATTGTAATCATGAAATAATCACGAAAGTTATTATACTTAAGTGTAATGTCATTCTCCCATCAACTTTTTCATTTTATAGACTAGATTTTATAGAAATTTTATAGAAATGTATATGATAACCAAAATTTCACGTAGCAACGTGATTTTATTTCCAAATTTCTTAAAAGAAATAATAAGTTGACATCCCTGGCAGCTAATGAGCCAATCAGATACTTGCGCAACAATGCCGCTGCCTAAGGTGCCTCCCATCAAATCAACCGGTCAGGCCATTGAGTCGAAACTGTCTGGGAATTTGATTAATGTCGATTAACGTAGGTATGTCTTATTGAATAATATATAATTTGCATTCGCACATTAATAATAATTAGTATGTTCACAACTCTGGTCTTTATCTTTTAATTTCTTATTACAAGAGTAGTACCTAACGGTAGTCACTTTCATACAACATGAAAACAAAAAAAAAATATGATACATAATTCTAGGGCTTGCTGTAACACGTTTAAAAGAATATGGTTTGCTTAAGACTAACATTCAAAAACAGATATTAGTTGCAGGAGGTCCCCTTCTTTTCTTTTTCTTCTGTCTTATATATATTTGTAAAACTGCTATTATCCTCCTTCTATAATTATTTGTAAAACAATTAAATAAATCCATCAATACTTAGATAACTAGAAAAATCATCATATGACCAGCCAACTGCCACTTCAGCTTGCTGATCCGGTAGGCTATGTCGGTGACCTTGGTTCTCTGTCGGATCACCTCATTCCTGATGCGATCCCTTAGAGAAACGCCGAACAGTGCAGTGCCAGTGCCACAAGACGAAAGTCTTTAATGAGTGCGTCCTACCCGTCATGACATACGGAGCCGAAACGTGGACACTTACGTTACGGCAGGTCCACAAGTTCAAAGTCGCTCAACGTGCCATGGAAAGGGCTATGCTCGGCGTTGTATAAACAAAATTACCTTTCTATAATTTAGTGAAGAAATAAAGGACCGAAGAAGATAAAACAAAATTCATAAGATTCCTAAAGTTGTGGCCTTGCGTTTTAACGAACTACGTACAATGCATCCCTACCAAGTCATCAAGTCTGCAAAGGTGTGCCAATATGTGTTTGAGCTGACTACTACTTCTTGAGATCTTTAGGTGGTATGTCTTAAAATACTGGAAATACTCATTTTATGTTTTGATCCTACCAAGTTTGTTAAACCACAGACTACATGAATACATACATATAAGTGTATTTACTGAAAAGTCCACATTAAAGAAAAAAAGGAGAAAGGAAAGCCCCATCCGGGATCTTTGGGCATTAAAGATAATTAAGAAAAATTGGAAGTTTATTAAAAGGAAGAAGAAGGGCAAAGGATGGGAAGGGATTTTGCCTATTCCTATAATAAGCGGAGCAGGTAAAGGTCCTATTCTTATTCCTGTAACTTAGTTAACGATACCTAGTCTGCATTTTAAACGTCCATTCACATTTGTGACAATATAATATAATAAAAAATGTTCCCAAGTTCCTGAGGTTAATATTTAAAAAAGTTATTCATGTGACTTACCGGACTAGCGGATATTTTGCAACATAAACCAGATAACTATTTGCGTTCGTGTATATTATAACATATATTATCTTCACGTTCACACGGATAATTGTAGGTCAGGCATCGTCAGGCATATTCTAGAAATACTTAATGTTGGTTGAACATGACTTCATTGAAAAAGTAGCACACCGTGTATGTTATAAATTCTTACTATATTTGATTCGTGGAATCATTACGCCACTTGTCCGCTTTCCTGGAGATAAAACTAAAAATGTTAACTTTGTTTTATCGGTATTTTATTGCATATTTTATATAGTTGAACTACAAACTACAAATTGAAGCAATTCTACCTGTAAGATAAAGATAATGAAAAGAGGTTAAATAAAAAAATCTGGCTTGAACAGAAGAAATATATCAGTATTTAATGGTTATCAGTTTTCACACAAATACTTACTACAATATTTGGCTGATTTTAAGTCCATTTCCATATATATATATATATATATATGGAAATGGACCTATTTTTTGTGTTTTAAGACAAAGACGTATTTTATTTATCTTAGAGACAACAATTGAAATAACATCTTAATACACGTCTATGGAGGAATGCGATAATGAATATACATTTTACTGCTACAGTTAGCCATACCTACATAATACAAGTTGCATAAAAAATATCGCACTTATCTTATCTAAATAATAATTAAAGAACTGTACTAATGTCTTTGTTTATACAACTCACGTTTAAACACCGTAGAAGTCACCATCTATTTGTTTACTACATAATTGTGACTGCTACCACAAACTGTCCAGAAGTTAATTGTAAAAAAGGGTAAAAAGAATAAATATGTAATAAAGTATGACTATGTAGAAAGTTAATCGTTTTCTTTTATTTTAAATATAACCTTCGCGAAGTATTGCCACTACGCTTGTGTAATTCTAATTGGGGTCTAGAGTTTTTAAAATTGCAATGTTTTCTATGACATTATTACCAATATTGCAATAATAAATAATTTATTAATCCCTTTATGTGCATATATGATATATTTATATATTTTAAATTATTTTTTATTACACGAATTAGCTTCTAGTTAGAGCACAGAAACTAATTACACCTAATATTATTGTATAAGTTTTTTTTCTCACGCAGCATGTAGTATGCTTTGTGTGTGATATAATCTATACAAATAATATTATATATATAGAAAAAATAAAATAGAAGTGTCTGTTTTTAATGTTAAAATAATAGGATTTCTTCATGCGCTCACGGTTATTTGCACGATACCTATGCCTATAAACTTAAATATTTTATGTCTGTATGTCTGTCTGTCTTTAGTTTTTCCGGGTAATCTTCAAAACGGCTTGATCTATTTTGATAATATTTTACTACATAAGGAGTAACTTAGGCTATTTTTCCATTCAGAAAAACCCTATAAAATGTTGCCCGGTCCGGGAATCGAACACGAGGTCTCGTGGACTGAAGCCTCGTACCGTACTACACTACTAGGCCAGCGCATTTCTATAATATCTACAATAGGTATCTAGTCTCTCTAGTACTTAACAGTTGTTGCTACTTACTATTGCCAAATATTATATATACACTTTTTCGTTGGTTTGTAACTTAATTAGCTTGAATAATATTATAATTTAAAAAATATTGGTTTATTTTTCTGTTTCCCAAATCTATTTACATATTGTACGAGTAAGTTCATATTTGTAACAATTATTTAGCATATTATTATTGAAAGTGTTTTTAATTACAGGATAACAATGGCGTTAAAGACAAGAGAAATGGCGCAATTACTTTGAACAAAGCAGAAATTGACTCAAAATTCTAATATACGGGCACAGTATGTATATATATGTTTATTTAACAAAGATAATAATTGGTAACCCAATTAATGGGTAATTTGAACAAAGCGGTACAGAATATATAAACATATATAACCATCTGTGTTTATAAAATACTGTGGGCATACTAAAAGTCTCTGGATCTGGTCACTTACAATAAAATGTGTGTACGTTTCCTTTATTAATACAGTGGTTTCAGCGAATGCAAAAATGCATTAATTGCTAGGGAATATACTTTGAAAAACAATAAAGATATAAGTCTTATATCTAGGATTAGTTATCAGAATCCAGAAACTTTCAGTATGCTCTTAGTATATAGACCCACTCGGGTATACATATCTATAAAAATGTCTATAATGTGATGGTCTATAAAAATGCAAGCTTTTTCAATAACGAAAAGTAATTGCTTGTAATATTCTCACTTAGGGAGAAACGGTGTTCTAGTCTTGTAGAAGCATGCAGCTCGCGATTCTTTTGTCCTAGTTTTAGTTTCCTACTTTGTAACTCAGACACGGAGCGCACTTACTTCAGATTTCCAAACTGAATACACAAAACCTAGAAACTGCTGACTGCATCCGGTAGAAGAGCCGTGACCACGATACCACTTTACAAACTTTACTGGATTTTGTGTCGTGTTTCAACACCGATAGAATGACTAATGCTCAGTGATAATATTATTGAAACCTCGAAACGAATTACTATTTATAACATAAAGCTATTAATTTTAGGGTTACGTATCTTGATGTCTCTTTAATAAATTAGTTGTTAATAAAATATGGGTTTCATTTCGTTCAAAATTAAAAAGTGCAAAAAAGCAAAAGTTTTTAAAGTGGGCTATGTTCGAGGTGTCTCTGTGGGATTCAATCAGGACAAAGCAGATCCGCAGAGGAATGAAGATTACCGACATAGCCCATGAAATCAGCTACTTAAAGTAGCAGGATAAATAGTTCGCAAAAGATAGGACCCATGACACCGAATATCTCTACGACCGCTCGGCAAAAAGTGCAGCGTAGAACGTATAACAACATGGTTGATGACCTTAAGAACGAAGGTTGATGAAGCCGCTACCCGATTTTCTAGGAAATAATTAAAAAAGGTACTGAAAAGAAATGATGATGGCAATGAAAAAAGTTGACATCACACTAACAAATTAAAATTAATTTTGATATTGACTATTCACAAGTAGATTGTAAGTTGTTTCCTGCCTTAAAACTTAAAACATAGAATAAAGGAAGGAACCTTTGTTATTTTTACTGACACTGTACATGTACGATATTTACAGCATGATCGGATTTACTTACTCACTTGCAGACTATTTTGCTGATAAAGCATGCAAATAACAACTAAAACTATGAGGGCGTATGCATTATTTATTTACAGCATATTAAATTTTAATAAATCTCGTATTAATCGTCATATGATACCTAAAGAACTAAACAATGCAAAAAATAAGGGGCAAAAAGTGAAACTAAAAAAGAAATCAGTTATGCACGCGCTGACAGCGCAGGCGCAGCAGGGCAATGAACGTAGACAGGTGCCACACGACCAATCCCAGTACAGAATCTCAGTTAACGTGACTGGCTTCAAATCACCAAATTATGTCTGACATACCCATCTCAACGTTTAAATCTTGCAATGCGCAATCGAGATCTAAAATACCCTTGGGTATCCTTGGATCTCTCACATAAACCGGATTTACGCAGCACGGGCTTTGTTTACGGATCAATCATAGGATAGCTTACATAAGGCTTACTATGGCTGGTATAACTGCAACAATTTACATATTACGAACTATAATACCATTGTGCTAATTCTGTTATTCCAAAACTCTAAACTAAACTAAAAATCACCTAATACGAGTATAGTTTAGTCCTGTCAAACAACGTTTCGTATTCTGGAAAACATAATAAATTTAGTTTAGAGAGTTATCGAACAACAGAATTAGCATCATTAAAGTGCTATTTATAAAGACCTTTCTAGAAATTTGGATCAATACAAAAATGTAAACTTTTGTTACTTTTAAAAAGTTCAAGCAGACAATGCTTTGTGTATAGAATCGTAATTGTCGTGGTATCGACCCACGCATGCCAGAAGGTCGTTACTGTGCGCTCTAATGTCAGTCATTCATTAAGCCGAGTGCATTCCCTAGCACACAAATGTCCTTTCCGTCGCTTCTAGCTGCAAGTTGGCGTCGAATCTTTGTAACTTAATTTCTACTACTTATTCACTCACAAAATAGCCTCTGCTTCTTATCTTTAAAGCAACGATGAATGCAAAAGAAATATAATCATTTACTAACTAAATTTATTTCAAATAACCAAAAATTTGACATTGAAGTTTTTATTTTGAAATAAAATTAGGATATATTGAAAAAAAAGGGAACTAAATAATGTATATTACTCTTAGAAAAATCAATAAACGGAAAAGCACTTGACGGGTGGTTGGACGGCGAAGATAACAAAAAACTAAAAATGCCCAACGATATTGACTAAATTTCAACAAACATTAAGAACAATGCAAATCGTAAATGATTATGGCTAACTTAAAAAAAAGTTGAACTCTTTCCTAGGAGAGATCCCTAGATCTATTCTATAGTCTATCCATTCGTTTTTCTTATACACATTGCTTTAGGACATACTTCTTCTTGCACAAGCAAACAACATACAAATTATCTACTTTAATTTAATAATATTATTTAATACAATTCGTAGATATTATGATACTGTAGGTACATGTAGTATTACTTTTTCCAGAAATGATTTTTGTTATCAACAATGAAAGGGTTACGTTGTACCTATTGTTTATCTAGTGATTCTATCTTATAAAAAGTAAGTTAGTCAACTTGTTAGAGTTTCTGTTCCTGGCTAAGACTGGAAATTTTGACAAGTTTAGAACTAGTTTAGAGCATTCAGCTCTACCGCCAGAGTCAATGTGTATTATGGCGAAAACAACTTAACGATTTGAATCTTATTATTCTGTAGTGTTGTCAACGCCTAACTAGTGAAATTGGAAAATCGTATTAACAATAAACTTATAACTATCCTATCTAGACTATTCAACTTTTATAGAGTTTTAACATAGTATTCCAGTGTCTAGTACGACGCTCGGCATCACGGCGCCGATATGACTTGTTTTATTTACATCTCCCGCAAAAAATTGGCATCAATCCAAATCCTAAACGAGATGGCGTCCATAATTATATCTGTGTATTTCGAAATCCTAATCTCGATATAAACAGGTTTATGGCTACAAGAAATTAAAGTCGCAGAAATGAAACTGGTCCTTTCAAGTTATTCCATTGGAGGAAACCTTAGTGTGTATCGAATCAGGAATCAATTAGTATTATTATACCTCCAAGTTAGTATAATTCGTATGAGTATTGTTAAATAAATAATTGTAATGTGGCATTTACATGGAGTTTATAGAAGCGCTTTATAATAATGAAAATCGCTTGATAACAGAGACAAGGATAAATGGATGAGACAAGCAAACCAATATTTACCCAGTTATAATAAGATATCCTGCAACATCACAGGCAATAAACCAGGCACTAAATAAAATTAAAAGAAATCTTTTCATTTAATACTTCAAGTCTACTTTATAAGAAGTAACGACCATAGTGAATGAAAAATCAATGAATAATGGTTTTTGGTACAACATATACGAATATTATATTGTTTTGGAAGCATTTGGAACAGCTCATTCCTGATAGAATAAATTTATTCGCTCATTTCAATGCGTAATACATTTTAGAAAATACTATCTAAATTGATACATATCTATCTATTCTATCTATTTATTTTAAACCTATCAATACTTGTCGTCTAAGAAGCTATAGTACCGTAAACTTTTGTTAAGTCGAAGAGAATCGATTAACCTACTTCATACACAGGTTGCTCATGGTAACGTCAACGTCTGTTATAGCCTGGCCTCGACACGGTTGTTAAGTTATCAACCAGCGGGCCTAATTACACAGATCAAGTACCGGACATAGTTCTCTGATAGGAAACGGGCAAGGAACCAAAAGACTAGCCGAACCGGTCACGGTAACGGACAGCGCATGCTGTATGTTAGGTTTTAGACGTTACATTAACAACGCCATGAACACTTTTTACCGATAGTAATATAAATTAAAATGACTATATAGCAAGCATCTACAGAAATGCAAAAGGAAGTTCGTTCCGACCGGGGGTCCATAGATCCCACACGCCTATTTAGTTCCCAAATCTCCCTATAAATAGGAAAAGTTTATAAAATGAAAGTTATTAAGAGTTTAAGTAAGTAACTGCAGAAACGTATTATTATATGTATTTAAGTTAACCTTTTTTATGAAATATGGGGGCAAACGATATGTTTCTCGTTTAGGTATCTCTGACCGGTTCCACAACTTTTTACCATAGCGATTGTACATATGTATGCACTAGTATAGATTTCTGTGACTAGGTTTGAATCTTTCATACCAGATGTCGCGACAATGGTTACTTTCTCTACTCCTTAATTTTCATAGGCAGTAACACAGTTTGTTTTACTAATAAATAGAAACTCTAACTAAAAACTTGTTGAATAGCTAAGAACATCGCTGGACACTTAACAATGAAAATAAACAAAGCACTAAATAAGTTATTTATTATCTATTACTTACGTATTATGCACTTGATAACACAACTACAATATTATCAACGCACATAACTCTGACGTGACTTTACGATGAGGTAACGTCAAAAGTTACTAATATACAATGAGTCGGTCAGTGCTATCAACTCAGGATGTGATCGGAGACGCCGATACCAATGCTGATAAGAAAACAGTGACTTCAGGCTTCAATAAAGGACCCAATAATGAACCGATAACGTTTCGATACTCTCAAGTTGACGTGAGTCAACTAATGCTTTACCTTGTAGATTCCTTATGCGAGTGTCTTTATGGAAAAAGCTAATTTCAATGACAAATAACCCTTTTTGTTTTGCTAGACGTTAAGTAACACTAGATCCAACAGGTGTGGGCCGGGGGCCGCTACAGAGTGGGGACCTCTGGTGGCAGATTGATTGCTGCGGTAGGGGATAGAACGCCGCTATTGAGGGGGGAAGTGTTTTCCCCTGGGATAGGACCTGATTAGGCATGGTGTCAATTCGGGGAGGACCTGAAATAACATGGTCCGGGTCCTCCCAGGGTAGGACACCTGAGGCCGGCCCTCGGGTGGTTTTTAGTGGAATCACCACACACTCCTGCCTCACTTCCCTTCGCGGCACTGTGCGACTAACGTGTGACTTCATATGCTAACAATTTAAATATTGTTTTCTGTGTTTTTCTGCGACTAGTTCCCGGTTTGCGGGCGGCTAAAGGTTGTGTATAGTGTTTTAAAGAATATCAGTAAGTTTTTATTGTTTTTTAAACAGAAATATAGTGCTGAATTATTTTATTACGACTATTGGTGAGTAAATTTATTTTCTTTCTAAAAGTGGGTAGGAGGTATCCTTTGTTTATATTGATTTTTCTCTGCGTATTGTTTATTTTTAAACTTGTTCCTTTTGAAATTGTTGTTTGGTGTGTCTTTGTTTGGCTATGTCGGTCGTTAGCGAGTTGCCGGACCCCGGCGGTACAAGTGAATTTCTAACACCAACCGGGAAAAGGACATTTAACGAAATGTCACCTACGGATTTCTCGCCGAAAGACAATAGAAGTAAACGAATTAATAATTCGGATTTAAGTGGAAATGTTTCGTCTCTTAACGGTCGTGATAACTGTGGGGAATACAATTACTGCGAGTTAGTCTCACAGGCTACCGAGTACTTGGCAAAAATCAATGAATTAGTTAATGATCAGGGATCTCGGATGAATGTAGGTAATAAAACGGCAATTATGGATATTACTCAACGAATTACCGGTATCGTATCTTTGTTAGCAATAAAATCCTCTAGCAACGAAACGAAGTTAGCGAATTTTGAGCGACAAATGGAGGGTATCGCAACTCAACAAACGAGTTTAACGTACGCGGACAAACTTAAGCTTCGATTACCACCTAAATCTGCTCCGTGCCCGGTACCTACTGAAGCGCGCGTTCCTAGGCCTTGTGTTATTGCCTATCCCACTACGGAACGCTTAGCGGACTATGCGACCTCGTCAGCAACGAAACAAGCTCTCATGAAGGCTATTAAACCGAGCGATGAGGGATTTCAAATTGTAGGCGTTAAAAAAACCTCTAAGGCGGGCGTCGTGTTACGTGTAGCTAACGAACGGCAGCTTAAGAAACTGGAATCTGTGGACGCCATTAAATCAGTAGGGTTGCGCTTAGAAAAACCGAAAGGCCGTAGGCCCCGTATAATTGTAAAAGACGTACCCGGTTCTATGGAAGATCGTGCCTTCCTAACAGCTTTATACCGTCAGAATATCAAGGACGAATTAAAATTAAGTGAGAATGATTTTATTAAGTCAACCAAAATTGTTAGGCATCGTAAACTAGAAAATGGGCGTCAATGGATAGGCTTAGAATTAGAGGCAGCAGTTCGGAAACATCTAGCCAACACAAAAGATAAACTTTATATAGACTGGGCCACATGTAGATTCATAGACGATATAGAAGTAGTTCGTTGCTTAAATTGTCAGCAATTCGGTCATGTACAAAAGTTTTGCACTATTAAAACCCCTACTTGTGCTAATTGCGCCGCCGCACACGAAACGCGAGCTTGTCCAGATAAAGACACACCAGATTTTAAGCCCACGTGCGCACAGTGTAAGCGGTTCAAAAAACCATCTGACCATCGATGCGGCTCATACGACTGTGCCACATACAAATTAAAACTGGAACAGCTAATATTAAATACCAATTACTGAATAGTTTAACTTAGTTTAAAAAAAAAAAAAAAAAAAAAAAAAAAAAGTTTAAAGAGTAACTTACTAAGTAATGAATAATATTTCGATAGGCCAGTTAAATCTTCATAACGATAAAATAGCTACATCAGAATTAGACCGTTTAATTTTAGAACAAAAGTTAGACATTGTCCTTTTACAAGAACAATATCAGAGCGCTCACTTGCGTCGTAATGTAGTACAGCTTGACTGCCGTTCGCAGGCTGGGATATATGTTGCAAGTTCTAATTTTACGGTAACATCTTTGCGTAATCTTATGACGTCACACTGCGCCGTTGCTGAGATCTCATCCTCTACCTGTAAGGTTTACGTAGTGAGCTGCTATTTTCAATATTCACATCCTATTGATCCTCACTTACATCACTTACGTTACGTCTTGCAGTTCCTCGTGGGACATAAAATTATCATTGGCGCTGATGTCAATGCGTCATCTTCATTATGGTATGGCAAGTTGCGTTCAACCGACACGGTTCGACGTTGTGCGGTTGAAGATTTCATTGCGGAAATGAATCTTATTATTCACAATACCCCCGATGCACCACCAACTTTTTGCAACCCAATGGGTGAGTCTTCTATTGACGTGACGCTTACGCGCGGCGACGTCTCGATATCCGGATGGCGTGTCCTTCCGGACGCATCCTGTAGTGATCACCGCTTGATCGTGTACGAATTCACACCAAGGGTTGCACAGGATCCACAAAGGGTTCCCTATAATTTTAGATATAAAACTAAAGGTGCGAACTGGGCTTTGTTTGGTTCACTCTTTGCAACTCATACCAAAGACTTCAGTCGCAGTAGTTTATCAGCTGAGGAAAGCGCAGAAATACTATCAGAAACTTTTACATACTGCGCTGATGTAACTATTGGTCGCGGATCTATCACTAACACTCGTAGATGTGATTGGTGGAATGATAGATTAGCCGAACTACGTAGAAGCTACCGGAAAGCTCGTAGAAAATTAAACACTATTAAAAAACATAACGTAACAGGAGATTTGTACAACATTGCTCTCATTGCTCTTAGAGTTGCCAGGTCCCACTACAGAGCTGCTGTGGAAAAATCCAAGGGAAACTTAATTCAGAAACTTGTTAATAAACTCGATAGAGAGGGCCCGTGGTCACCTTTGTATCACGAATTTAAGGCAAATAGATCAATCGACCACGCATACATACAGAACATCAAAATTAATAACAGATATACCACAGGAGTAGAACAAACAGCAGAATATCTTTTAGACTCACTCGTACCTGACGATCGACCGGAAAACGACACAGATCATCACCGACAGATCAGGCAGTGGGCCATCGAACCACCACTGTCTCCAATGTCTGATTTACCATCTTCAGACGAATTTCTCGGTATCATTAGATCCTTGCCGCTAAACAAGGCTTCGGGTGATGATAAAATATCTAACAAAATGATAAAAGAAGCTTGTAAACTTTCGGGTGACACGATTTTCACTGTCTTTAAACGTTGCATTGCTGAAGGAATATTTCCTCGTATATGGCGGTGCGGTAATATTCGTATAATACCAAAAAGTGGCGACAAGCCACCGGATGATCCTAAATCCTACCGACCAATCACATTGTTACCATCGTTAGGAAAGCTTTTAGAACGTCTTGTAGTGCCCCGGCTTCTGCCAGGTGGAGTCAAATTTCATGATAGACAATTTGGATTTACGTTGGGTAAATCGACAACTGACGCTGTTATATCGGTTAGAAAGTTTGTCACAGAGTCAAAATTTCAATACGTGCTGGCTATTTTCTTAGATATATCTGGCGCCTTCGACAACGCATGGTGGCCCATGCTGTTGCTGAAATTAAAATCACGGGGGTGTTTTAAAAATATTTATTCCCTTATCTCTTCGTACTTTTCACAAGGTACAACTAAACTAAGACTTGGTCATCATTCTGTGTCGAAGGCGCTTACAATGGGATGTCCTCAGGGATCGGTGCTAGGTCCATACTTGTGGAATATCGGCTTCGACGATTTTCTTACGATACCAATACCATCCGGATGTACTCTGAACGCGTATGCTGATGACGGCTTATTACTGGTGGAATCTGATACTAGGGCGGGGCTTGAGAGATTAGCCAATAGATGTTTGAACTTGATATCTCAATGGGGTGAACGTAATCGCTTAACTTTTGCACCCAACAAAACCTTCCAGTTACTTTTAAAAGGTAACCTCAAATCACCGCCGAGCATTAGATTTGACAATGTTACTGTAAAAAATAAAACCACAGTGTGTTATCTAGGATTAGTTTTAGAAAGAAACTTTTCATTTATCGAACATATTAAAATAGTTAATGAAAAGTCTAAAAAGAGTTTCTGTGCATTGACAAGGGTATCAACTGCGACATGGGGTCTATCATTTAATACATTAAAGATCATATACGGAGCTACTTATTTAGGTTCTATGTGCTATGGTGCACCTGTGTGGGCCGATAGGGCGACCGTAGGCGCTGTCCGTCGCAAACTGTTACAAGGCCAACGACTTGCACTGATATTTTTGTGCAAGGCATATAGGACGGTTAGCACTGAGGCTTTGCCGGTGTTGGCAGGTGTCCTTCCGGTCGATCTCGAGGTGCAGAGACGTGCAGCCATGTACTATTCAAGACAAAACATGGAATGCGATTTCTTGGGCGCGCGGGATCGCGGTAAAATTACAAGATTGCTTCAACAGCAGTCCGATGTCTATAATGACCTCATAGACGAATGGCAGCAACGCTGGGACGAATCATCCAAGGGGCGCCATCTTTACCAATTTTTTCCATCTGTTCGCGAACGGTTGTCGAGGACATGGCTTGAGGTGGATCACTGTGTCGCTCAATTTCTTACGGGTCATGGTAACTTTAAGAGCAAGTTGTATTCATTTAAATTAGTCGAGTCACCATTGTGTCAATGCTCAACACCTAACTCTCATTATGAACAGTCTGCTCATCATATCCTCTGGGAATGTAGTCTTTGGTATAATGAACGTAATATAATGCTGAATAGCTTGCAGGTGACATCTGGGGCGGTATACTATGGGGATCTTGTGTCAACTAGGGTGAATTTCCGTGCGTTTAGGCGATTCTGCCATACATATTATAGAAATCAAATATAGCTCATGTAGGACCCGTAATATTTTGTGGCCGTGGTGCTTCCCTGTTTAAAAGGGTGTATGCCTATTTCACTTCATTTTGTCTCCCGCTTTGCTAAGGAGGGAAGTGGATTTACTGTATTTCCAACTCCTCCAATTTTCTTCTGATTAATTTCGTTGCGGGTTCCAAGACAGTTTAATTTCTTCCTGGGACTTCCCGAGTGTCATAACTCGGTGTGTTCGTGGGTCACTGCTGTGGATCCTGGTGTACAGGAGTTACAGTGGTGGGCGTGTGGGTGGGATTAGTCCCAATTAAAAAAAAAAAAAAAAAAAAAAACACTCCTGCCTCCTGAGTCCCCGAGGAGCAGGAGATCCGAAGGGATTTTCCAACACGTCAACAAAAAAACAAACATCCAACAGGTGTAGACAATTTATGCTATGACAAATTATGGCCATTTAATTAAAAAAATCAATGCTAAGAGTATGATTGTGTATATGTCCTTTGAGCAGCACAGGACTGTCTTTATTATTTCTTATTATCTCAGTAGTTTCATCGTGTGCCGATAATTCTGCCAACGTCAATGGGGAGAGATTAATAAATCTTCTTTCTACTTTTTCTGATAAACATTAAAAGTTATAGACAAATGCAAAAAAATATGAAACAATAAGGCCGTGTTTTCTATAACTTTTGTATCATTGTATTTATATTTGTAAAGAATCATCTACCATCAATTTATTTTGTTTAAAATGTAATACAGTTTTAGCAGATTTTAAGTAACTATAGTTTGCAGTAAACTTTAAATTTAAGACAATTTAACGGGAACCTTTGTTACGGGGTTGGTGATGGTTGATGAAGCAGAGGTAAGTTCTAAAGATCTGGTAAAAGCCTGTTTTTGTCCCCTAATATGGAATTGGTTTGGAATAAGTATTGGTCAAAATTAGGGATTGGGAAAATAGGGATATATATATATATTTATATATAAATATATTCCGCATGAGAACGGAGTTTATACCAATCGAAGACTAAGTCTGACTGTAGTTTAATAAAATTTATCTGATTGTAATGTTTTCCGTATACACTAAGGTTCAGATTTTTTGTACCACCAAACCTTTACAATATATTTGCAGAAACACAAAAGATGACAACCCTCAACCAAGCATGTTTTTCTCACTCACTATATCTTGTAAATAAAAGCGGTGAAACCTATCAATGAATATGGTACAAAAGATACAAGTGCTTATTTATGTTTTATCCATTTATTTAAATTACTGAGAAAGATGTAGTACACCTCTGTGCAACAAACGACTCTGCTTTTTTCGCGAACATTAATAAATATTAAGTTTTAAAGGTTTTGGTAAACGAATAAGAAAAAAAATTTGGCCAATTTACGTAACAAAAGAGTTTTAGGACAGAATACGATAATACAATAAACTCTAAAAAGTACATATATTAAAGAATTCTGTACATACCTGAGTAAACTGCGAAGATATTTTAGTATGATCCTCTTGATACGCTTTCCGTGACTTCCGTCGTTCTGCCATGAGGCTAGTCAGTCTGTCCAATGCCTTCGACTCTAAGGCTTCAGCGTTAGACTTGATGAGTCGACTAATGTTTTCCCACTCTTCGGTCATGGCGCGCCAGGCTGACGCTATTACCGACCCTGAAACAAAATCAGTTATGCATTAATTTGGACGTAACACAACTATGTTGGCATGAGGCCCAGAACTTCTATTATTCCACGGGAGACTTCAGTTTCAACTAAAGGTTTGCTTATAGATGCTATGTACATGCTATGTACAGAGGTTAGACTACTGTTTTCATCACACAGAAGGACACAGTGGGTGTACATATATATATGTTAGATTTATTTATCAAATAATGTCCAAGGGACAGTTTTATTCGTAAATGAATTAAATTAGATTCCTCATCTTGTTTATTTCAGTGATAATAATAATAATAACCTCACAAATCTGACACACGGCCGTCTGATGTCAAATTAGGCATAGCCTGTACTATAGTAACCACACTGCTCATCAACATCAACATGTTTCCTTACATATTACAGATAAATTAGTACACCACCACACTATTATTTGTCGTGGGTCGGAATCGAACCCACGAATTGCACTACTATATTCAGTTTTTCTCTAAATTTAATTAGCAACAGAACTGTTATATAAATAACCTATATTTATGTACAGATACATATTTTATAACAGTTTGCTCTATCTGATAAAATTTTCATGATTCTGTGTTCAGATTAAGATATATTTTTTTAAATCTATAATTTTTATTATTTTTAGCTATCAGTTTACCTAGAAATTAATTTTATAGCACAGGCAATAAAAAATATATTTGTAATTCATAGATTACAAGCTAGAAATGTAAGTATTCAGGAATTGATGCAAAAAATACTTTATGATTATGAGTTTTCTAAGAATATGTTGTCCTTGTGGTGATAGATTAAGAATACGGATTGTCACCACCCCGACGTACCTTGGGCCATCTACGGCTTATAGATGACCCATGCGGTACCTGGCCTGTTCTCGGGCCTGACGAGCCGGGAGGGTTCTGAACCTCTCCCGGTCCCGCTCCGCCATCTCCTTCGCAAGCATAACCTGGTCACAGAAGGAGACGGCGGAGTTCCACGCCTCTGCTCCACCCACGCCGGGCATTCTGCTAGCGTGTGAAGCGCCGTGTCCATGGTCTGTCCTGCCCTCACTTATGCAAAAATAAGATTCGGATGATCAATTTGCAATTTTACTTGAAATCACTCTTTAACAAAATGGAAAAGTAGCAAAAATATAAAGATGTTAATAAAAATCCAAGCTCTCAAGCGATTTACCTAGTGGATTCTTCCTAATCGGAACTTATTTGCTCTATGTGGCGGTAGATCAGCGCTTTACTTAAGAAAAAACGTCATCCACGTCCACATATTCAACATTATTACGCTTCACATGGCACGTTGACTCTACTCGTTTTAAGTATTCAGCAACAGCATGCTCTGTATCATGCATGTAGCACAAATCTTGACTGCACTGATGGCATAGTTTTTAATGGGTGGTGACCGCCGCTTTCTACTACGCTGAGTGTTATGGGTTCGATCTCCACCTGACAACACTTTGTTTGATCCACAAATTGTTGTTCTGAGGCTGGGTGTTCTTAGTGTCCGTTTGAATGAATGTTTGTAAAGTCCCCCGCGACACAGGATACTATAGGTATAAATATAATATATATATATTAATTATACCTTGTGGGGGAGTTGTATTTAAAAAGAAACATACATAACATTGCGAACGACAGTCCCGAATACTGTTTCACATCATATTAAGCTAGCTGTATAATGCCATGCCATACACGGCGTTTTCCTTACCTAACTGAAACCAAGAAGGAAGGAAGGAAGGAAACGGACGTTACTGCTCTTAAAAGTCGTTCGCGCCCTACTTGTCCCACAAGAAGTAAGAGTAATTACCCAGTGCAGTTAGAGACGGTACTAGGTATAAAGGTTAGAATGTATGTATGAAAATAAACCTGCTCAGACCCCTTTATCCTAAATTGTTTTACATAACACATGAATAACCCCTTAGACAAACTTATTTATTTCAATGGTTTTTGATTATAAGAAGAAAAAAACGATAATATGATGTACAAAGTAGAACCATATCAGATTTTCTAATCTATTTTTAAATTAAGGTAGCTGGTTAATTTCAAATCTACTTACTTTATAATTTCGTAACAAGTTAATAAAGTGAAACGTATTGCAAAGTTTCACCACATGACCACTAATGCCATGTTATCGTCTAGATAGGTACCTACATTCAAATTGTAAAATAACTTTCATGTCATGTGGGCTCAAAGATTTATCCTCATTAGGCAACATTATTCGTTTACCGCCACATAATTGATTTCGAATTTTGTTCAACTTTAACAATAAAGGAGAAAAACAGCGTTTTTTTTATTTGGCCTGGTTTCGTATTTATTGAATGTTTTCACATTCCACGACGAAAAACCACACACGATTCGAATCCTTTTCGTGGTTCTCAATAATTACTCGAACAAAATTAAGAATAATGTATAAATCTACCTTGAGAATGCGACAGTAGGAATGAAGATGTACAACGGTCTGAAATCTAATAATCTGTAGTTGGATCAAGTGTAAGTGGGTATATAACATGAATGTGCGCTTATATTCAGTAACTGTAAAAATAACACACTCACTGGTGCTAATAGGGATAATTCTCTTAAGTGACACTGTTTTTTTTACCGTTAAGTTCTTCACATTTGTCCATCTTCTGGCCGTGTGCAGCGGCAGCAGACAGCGCCAGAGCATATTCGCGATCGCTCTTCATTTTAGCTTGCAGAGACCTCTTCATGGTCTCCATGAGCCTAAGCTCGGCATCCTGGCGCGCCAACAGCGCCTCATGCGCAGCGCGCCCTGCTCCACTCGATGCGTAACCCATTATAAACAAAGCACTTCTACACTATATCGCACATTATTGCAAACATAAACACAACACTGTTCACATAATTTTTTGTTATCACCGGCACGGAATTTAAACGTCACTCTTGACAAAATTTAAATTATTGGCAGGCACAACCGATTCTTTAAAAAGGACACCGACTAGACTCTCAAGGTAAGGTTTATTTTCTTCTATTACTCACAACTTATATTAAGTGTGAAGACTTCGATATGAAGCTGTTTAATAAAAAACTTTCGATAGAAACACAAGTACCGAACGAGGTGAGCGCGCTCAGATTATCAAAACGCGCGTCCGCACGGCAACGTCGTCCGACCTGAATGCCATCTCCCGCGAGCACTTCACGTCTGGTGTGGTGGCGCTGTGGCTGTTGCGACTTGCGAGCTGGCCCAGTCACCCGCGCTGTTGTTTTCCGTCGACAAGAAATAGCTTGCTACAAAATGAAGTAAGATTCAGTTATTATACCCATTATGTATGATTATAAATCATGATCTGTAACTGCAAGGAGCAAATGGGTTTATTGAATTGAAAGTCCTATAAAGGAATTAATTTCCTTTGTCTGCTAATTGTAAATAATATGTTATATAAAAACATTTTTCTTTGTCTGTCGTATACTGTTTCATGGCACCTACATAAGCCAACCATTTATCTTGTATTAATCATTTCTTACAAACGACAATGAACAGATATGTGTACATTATTATTTCAAAGCAATACAAAGCAAGCATACAGTAGATGTTATTGTATCACTTCCTCTAAGAGACAAAGATGCCATGATATCTACAATTAAGTATTTTTTATTCACTAAGGGACTACATAATCTGTTTGATTATAATCTAAACAAAATTCAGCTTTTGTGAAAAGTCACCACAGTAACACGTCAGTATTGTATAACGATCTTTCAAATATTTTTAGAATGTACTACATACATGTATATAATTTTTGTTTTACATTTAAGTCAAGTGCCCACTACATGAACACAGTTGTGTGTCCAGCAAACAAACGTTGCTTTCGTTAAGGGCCCAATACCGATCCTTGTGGGAATCTATATAAATTTCAGATTAAAATGCATTCTTCATTTTTTGAGTAGTATTAGAGCATGTTAGTTGTCTGTTGTTATTAATGCTATGGGTTTCAAATGGCTATTGAAAATTACAACACAAACCTAAAAATTATTAAATGCGTTATTAACGGTGATATTTGCTTCCTTTCGATTAAGACCCACTGTGACCAACAAACGATACTCTGACTACCTGATAGGAAAAGGCAATAAAGATAAAGAACTTGTTACAAACGTTAAAAAAACAACGTTTTAAGTCCTTGATACCTTATGAAATTAAGAATTTTTAGTAATAGTTACGTTTAGTTTTGTTGTCTGTGTTTGTAATGTCTTATTTTATTGTTCACTAGCCGTTCCCTGCCCCGCTTCGCCGTGTCACATTGTGGTTGCATCGATAAGAAAAAAGGCAAAAAAACTGATGCGAAAAGTAATCGTTGAAGTGGCTATCGTATATCGTGTCAAAATTTGGGCTCAATCGATGAAAAACGAATTCGAATTTTTGCGTACTCAAACCAATGTTTGTTTTTATGATTCGAAAAGTTCCGACATGAATGAGTTGAGTTTGATTTGAAATACATTGATAATACCTATATTGTGTATTTACGTACAACACAGATATATATTCATGTCGGAACTTTTCCTGTTAACTACTCGTATAATCCAAACACTTTAAATTTTTAAGTTTTCACTTCTGTTTCCCGGAGTGCCACTGTTTTTTTATTAGGTATTTTAGTAAGGTATTACTTTCTCAGGCAAAAGTTACACACTAAAAACCAGTCACTTAATTGCCCCCAACCCCCTGCGTTAAAATCTTACAAGAATTTACACTTAAAAGTTTAATATTTCGGAAACGGGTCACTAAAAAGAATAAATATGGCATAGACCCCGAAAAATCCAGCAGATTTAAGCTCGCAGCAGCAAAACTGTAATGGTTCCTTGTTAAAATAGAACCATTTGGACTACGGGACCCCAGAAACCTTCCAGCTTTTACCTTGTCTAAATTCCAACGAACCAGCTTGTGTATGTACGTTTATGTATGTATTCATATTAATATATATGTATTTAAGTGTATGAATAAGTATTCGTGTATATGTATGTGTAATAATGTAATGTATTATTAGTTAATTTATGGAAATTTTAAATGCGCACAACAAGCTACATTTTACTTGATTTTACTATCCATGAAATGAAATTTGGTATGGGGATAGTTTGAATCTTAATTAAGGACAAAGGCTATTTTTTACACCAACATACGCGCTGGCAGAGCCACGGGCAAAAGCTAGTATAGCATAGGTAATCCATCTAAATGTTGCCTGGAAGAGATTGCAGGCTGCGATAAGGCCGCCTATTTGCCCACCGCTTTTTTGTTGTGTGGATTGTACATTGTATGTACCCTAATCATGGTGTGTAATAAAGAGCACCTATCTATCTAACTATCTTGTGTTTGCGACATCAGATCTACTACCTTGAGTTTACAGGTACTTTGTAATTTGTCTAACTTATTACCCCAGCAGGTTCTAGTACTAATTTCTGGCGATTTCTTCTATTCGTAGTAAATTCTCATTAGACATTAGTTTGCAATCATCATTCATTCATGTATTAATTGGGGTACATGTCGCGTAGACACGACGGTCGGTCTACGCGACACGACATGTCCACTACGAATCCAAATGACATGACTCTGTCACTTCACTTCTTTTCCCAAGAATTTTAACTTGTATTATCAGTTACAATAGATTACATTTCTCTCCGCGCATTATGTGGCCAGAGATTGCCATTGGAGTATACGTTTACGTGATGATGCGGCGATATGTATAAAATAATATTTTACTTTCAATTCTGCTATATTTATCACATCCTTTCACAAGCCATCCTTTTATACAAATTATTTAAAAAAAAATGAACCGTCGCGGGACGTCTGGCAGATACATTTAAATTATTTTAAATAAATATAAGAAGTATAAAAGGATAGTTTATGAAAGGAAATATTAATGGCAAATAAATACATTTTACGTAGAGTTCTGCAGGATAATGGGTAATGGCTGAACCAGACGATTTACTATTTTTAACAATGCTGTAAAGAGTAAATGTCACTGGCGTTTGACGTTGTCATCGCTGTCAACTTGCGCTGTTATCGTAATATTTTGATTGCGTTTTCAAGATTTCTGAGTGAATCATAAACAAATCATTAGAATCAAAATATTCATTCCGTGGGTGTCGTAAGAGTCGACTGACGGAGCAAACTACGCATTACAACAGCACTGCAAAGAGAAGGAAAACTTGAAACAAACCCTATACCAATCCGTCTGGCCGGTGTGGTATAGTCAGGTATAGTAGACCCAAACCTCCTCTCTAAGGAGAGACCTATGTCCAGCAGTGGACTAGTAAAGGCTGTTGAGGAGAATGAGAATAATGTATAAAATTAAAACATTAATATTATTATTGCAAATATAAAAAAAGAAAACACTTGTTTGAAAAATTTCAGGTCTTGGATAATATTAACAAATTGAAAGACTGGAACAGAAAGAGATGTTCTCAGAAACTTAGAAATCACATCATTGACTGGTAAATATTAGTGTTATATATTCTTTTATGAAATATTTGTGATAGTTAAGTTACCTACACTGTAAATCTGTAACTGTTGACTGTATAGTCAGTTCTTTTACTTACAATGATAACTTTTATTGTGACATTTGTATATATTTTTTTTGTAGGTCTAAGTTTGTCTACATTGAATACTACATTTTATGGTATCCAAGCTTTTATATGCAAGCTGTCAGAAACAAAATAAATAATTTTAAATTGTAAAGAAGCAAATGCCTTTGCTTAGAAGCTTTCTGACAGATAAGATTTTCTGGCTGCTGAGAATTGGATTACAGTAAATAAAAATTGGTTTATAAATAAATGTATAATTTTGTTTCATTTCTTCTAATTCCTATTAGTCCTTATAAATCTCAGTTTCCTTTGCATTAATCTATCCTAGTATCATAAAGCGCCAGTGTGTGTGTGTTAGTACATGCTGATCTGTTATGATATAGTATAGAAGCATATACAAACAGCAACAGATCAAGTCATACATTTCTATAGTGACAGGTGATCTCTCCTTGTACAGAAAATCTATAACACGATAAGTAAGCTTATACTGCCAAATTCTAGCTTGTTCTGCCGCTGTGTGTACTTAATTCATAAAAGCTATTTCCTCATTTTAAATAAAGACCATTAAAGTTAACTAAATTCTAGCTTGGTATATGTATGTCGAGATGCCCTAAACTTAGACCCGAGTAATCTGGTACAAAAAAAGGTGCGAAAAATTAACGACTATATTTAGAAGAAAATAGATCTTCGCTAGGTGCCCTAGTTTTTAAGATATAAGCGTAGCCGACCTAGGAGTTTCTCCCTAGGTCGGCCACTTAGGAACACATAACTTTTGATCCAGTGACCGACATTTTCTGATATTTGGCGACTGATTTAGACAAATTAGCGACTAAATTAGGAATAAAACAGATCTTTACTAGGTGCCCTAGTTTTTGACATACAAGCGTAGCCCTGCTGGGGAAACTAACTACAGCAGGCCCCCCTATAAACGCTTATAACTTTTGAACCAGTGACCATCAAGTTTGATATTTGGCGACAAATTAGCCACTTAATTTTTGTGCTATCAAAATTAAAATCCATGAGGTTGGCCATGCCAATGTCAGTGACACATTTTCCTGCGACTGTTTTTTTATAATCGGTAATTTTACCACATCAGGAAAACTTGGCATAAATAATATTTAGAATCTTTATGTTGTATAAAATAAAGTCGGTTTTGATCTTGTACGCTTAGATCTTATAAACTGTGCAACGGATGTAGTTTTCACCAATGGACAGTAAGTCAAGAGGATAGTTTATATGTATAATACATACATACTATAGTAGAGAAAATCCTACAATTTCAAAGATTTGTCGTAATAAACATGTTTTGTGCGCTCATATGGCAAACGCTGACTAAACCTTACGAGATAGATTAGAATAGTGTACCACGGTATTGTATTACTTGAAAAGTTCTACAAAAAAGTCCACGATGATATAATATGTCTATCTCCTAAGGATAACCAACTGTAACCATTTTTATCTTTTTCCATATTACAAAAAAATAATGGGTAAGTTACAAAGCTATTTTGAACAAAAACATTTTTACTTCTTAGTCATATAAATAAATTTGATAATTTGTGTATTTCATGTTGATCAAAATATATTTTACAGCATCTCATTACAATAAATATCTTAGTTATTATTTGAGATTTGAAATGAGGGGGCAACGCGGCCGTCGCTGCGTCGCGGTCGTGCCGTCCGTCCATCCCGGCTCACGGCGGCCAGTATAGGCCCGCTCCGCTCGTAGCGGGCCTATACTTATTACATATAAAGATGTCCTGTAGTCTTATCAATATAATAGTATAATTATTTACTCCACACTGACGCAACATTAGTAGTAGTACCTATGGACTGCATCCAACTCTACGTAACGCCAAGGAATCGAGCCGATCGGAGCATCTCCGCCATCTCCGTGGTACGTTTGCGCATGCGCAGGCCATACATCTAGGGTTTTTATTTTCGAAGGTTCGAAGCAAGTTCCCACCCCTAACCTTATCTGCGCTTTCTTTTCTGCTGTGAATGTTGATGCTCCAAAAAAAAACAATTTGTTTTGATAGCTTAAAAGTCTCTTTGCATCTTGTACAGAGACGCAGATAAGAGTAAAAATTGTACTGCGATGTTTACCTCTTAGTGAAAGTTCTTTTTATAGAATAATATTGAAAATAATTGTCTGCTTAACGTACCACGCGCCTTCGACAATTGACTGATTACGTTTTATTTGTTTGTTGCAATAACTATTGCACTTTATGAAATTCTAATGATAGTGCAGTTAGTTTCGAGTAGGTTGCAGTTTTTCCACTGTGCAAAAAGTACGAGATTCGAAGTATTTCAAGTGATATAGACGGTGTAGCAGGTAGTATCTTTATTTATGTTTTACTTGTGAACTAAGACGGTGCTGTTTTAATAATAAATAATTTTGGAAAGTGCTATTTAAGATACGTCGATTGATATCTTTTTTTTTTATATCTCAAAAGTTTACAGGCTGGGGTGGAGGCGGTCAACCACAAGGCATTCCTGTCAGAAATAAAATATCAACACTTGGTTGAAAGTTTCGCGGAATTTGCAAAAACTACATGAATTATTGTAAAATAAAGTAAATTGTTATATTTTGTCTTATTATATAATAACGTGTTATTATTCTAAGTTCAATGACAAAAGAGCGAAATCCATAATTATTTAAATTATTCAGGTAATAATTAAAATTACCTGTTTGTCATCAAAAAATTATTAATGAGCATTTATAATAATTTAAAATTATCTATTTTTAGTTTCTGTACTGCATTACAATTGTATTTATTTTTACCTAAAGTCATTCAAAACATTTAAAAAAATATTACAATAATAAATTGGCTACACCAAGAAACGTCAATTTGGTTTGTTTTTGATTTGGTGATGCCCACTAGTGATGCGCAAAATGTACCACTGAGCTGAAAAGATTGATAAATATCATTTCGCTCAAAAGATATACATCACTCGTCTAGCTCAGTGATCCAATTCAATTGATTAGTCTCTCAACTGATTCTCAGTAAATATCCCTCAGTTCGAAACTCTCTCGCTTAATGAAACCTTTCATTTATTGTCATAATTACCTAAATTAAGTTCTTCAAACTTAACTTTGAATATATTTAAAAAAATACAATTAATTCAGTTTAATAAGACTACATAATTATTAACACGCCTTTACAAATTAATTAAAAGTAAGTAATAGAATAAAATTAAAATATATATTATTAGGTTGTATATTAGAAAGCATACATTTTAAATTGATTTTCCTTTATATAAAGCTAGTGACGCCTTAATTAATAATAAAGAAAACACACACTTATTCTTAAATAATACATAAGTAATGTTAAACTCTGAGACTCTAAAAATAAGGTACATTTTTTCTAAAGAACTGAAGAAGCGTGAACTTAACCATCATCTATTTCACTTTTTATTTATTTTTAGTCTCACAGAAACTAAGATCGGCACCGTTAAGCTAGCAGTGTTGCCGACCTAGTGGATTTCAAAAACAATTCATCTTTAGATGACGAATAAATTTAAATAAGTAACTATTGTTATTGAATAATTTCTAAATTCCTTATCTTGACTTTTTCTTTTTATGTTAGAGGGGGCAGACGAGCAGACGGATCGGAAGACTACTGACTATTGACTTGTTTACTACTGTTGAAACTTATTAATTTGTGTGTTGATTAATTGATTGTTAGTGTTAGGATTATTTTATTATGAAGAAAACTATTTTTTTTTCTTAATAACTAAAAAAGTTTAGCGGAAAATTTAGCTACTATTAGAGTAGGGCCGCTTTTCGTTTAACTCTCAACCAGTGAGAGTCAATTGTACTGTTGGCAACACTGTGAACTAATGATTGTGAGCGCGAACGCATTTGGCGTTGCGTTGCAAGCAAATGTTGGTAGCGCTTAGTGGAGATTTCTCTGCAGACCAAGCACGATCACTCACCGAAACGATCGAGAAGTGAAATAAACTCACACTTGGGCTTCCGATTCATTCGAAGCTAATGTGAATTAGTGATTCATTTTATCGGCGTGAGTGATTTATATCTTTTAGATCACTCACTCAGGAGCTACACAACTCTAATGCCCACCACATGTAACTAGCACACGGCAGTGGCAACGGTGGCAACACTGTCTTTATCCTTGTAATATGGCTGCCGCAGGTTAGTTCTAGTAATTTTGTCACGTGAAAAAACGAAGGTTTTCGCTTGATTTTATTATTTATTAGGGCGTGTTAATCGTTATTATAGTTTGCATGTATATTAGTTATCAAAAGCTTTCTTTTTTGAAGTTGTAGAACGTTATCTATTAATGCTAACGTGTCATCATTTCACCTTTGCGAACGTTTGGATTTACCGCGTGGCCACATTTCTCAACATTCTCACTTACTTTATTACCCGTATAGTTCTCAATAACGATTAACAATTATTTTTGCTAATTTCTGCAAAGGTGAGAAACACGAACTTGAACAGATGTGTTACAAGTGCCATTTGTCCTTTCATGTGTCCGCGAATAACCACTTTCAAAATCGGAGTAGGTCGTTCACTTACTATGCGTCATCATTAACTATTAAGTTGTCCTGTAGTCAAAATTTTATCTAATCTAACATCGATTCTAGCGTCTAACTTTCTGTTCTAGCAAGCAAAAAGAGCAAAAAAGCGAAATGGATCAAAGCCAGTATTACCGACATTATTGCAGAACCAACCACAATTCCTACGGCCAACACCTGGGCCGATTCCGTAGAAGAAGAACGTAAGTACATATTTAATTATATTCATGTTACTTTTTTTAATTTTCGACCCAGTGATGATATAAAGGGTAATGGCAGGTCAATGTTAATCTCGTACTTGGGGCGCACACACTGAGTGCCTGTCGCTCTCTCCGCCCCGGGAAGGTCTGAGTAAAGGTCTTTGTGATTTAAAACACATTCTAGACGGATGCTTCCTTTACAAGGAAGGCAGGGGAACCAGAAATTACAGTGTAATATTAAGCCAGTGATGCCAGGCCTGTGGGGCTAGGTGAAGGTGTAAATGTTACAGCTGTTGGAAACCCCTGTGACCAGCATTTTAAGTACAATATACGAGATGACTATGGTCACAACTCAATTCAGACTAGTCTTTCATTGACTTGCTCCCTATTTTTCTGAGGGTCTAATGTTTTTGTAACAATATAAAATTTACTGTGAATTAAAATTATAACTGTTAATAGTAAATTATTATCTCTCTCTTAAAAATTGTTATTGCCTAAGATAATTTGTTTATCATCAACACAACATGACTGATGAAACTAATTGTTGTAATAATAGTTATTAGTCATGAATGGAATAAAGTAATAGTTCTTAATTATTCTATGTATTTTGTAATTAACATGACATTTAGTAATAGACATAATTAACATTTATTAAGGGCCACAACCATGTTTGCAAATATTAAAATTAATTAATCATGTTTGCCTAGCTGAAACATTTGGCTATGCGTCAAGATCGCGCGCCGTGGTTACCTTGCCGTCCGCGTCGCGGGCTGCATGCGGTGGACTTGCAGTGGACGATGAGTCCATCCCTCGGAGACCTCCTTACACAGCACACATTTCTAACCTACCATATGATGTTGATGAAAGTGCTATTTTTGAATTATTTACAGGGCTCAAGGTATAAATTATGTATATTTTATTTTAGTCTAGAAATTATTAATCCTATTAGTATTTATTACAAAGATAAAATTTTTAAGTTTACTTTTATTGTTACTTGAAATAGTCAATTGCAGTTTGTGGGCTTTTAAAAATATTGTTAGCTAAATGAATTATTTCCTTGAAAAATAAATATTAGGCCAGTATGGATAAGTAGATTTTATTTGCATTTAAGTACTAAGCAATTTTACTAATTATATTTCCCTTGAGAGGAATGAAAGAATTATCACACACACAGTTGTTGTTCTGAAATTTTCCAAACATCAAAAAATTAATGATCACTTAATGATTGTTTAGGTTTAATATTTATATATAATATGATAAATGTGTTATACAACAGATTACCAACTTGAGCCTTCCACGTGAAGGGAGCCGCCTCAAAGGGTTTGGTTGTGTTGACTTCGAAGAGAGAGAAGGCCTCATCAATGCCATGAACATGCCTGATCTTGTAAGTAACATTATCATTATAATTTTAGGATCCATTGATATATCATCATTTAGACTACCATAACACGGGGTAAATAGGAATAAAAATCTGCTTTTCTAAAACAATTTGATAGTGAGATTCTATTTAAGAGAGGTTAAAGCTGTTTTATTTCTGAACAAGCTTCTTTTTTTTTTCTACTGACCACAATGAGCATTATTTAAGCCAGCTAATCAGGATTCTTTTTTAAAAAAATATGTTGAAAGTGAGGTTGCCGTGGACACGTGAATATCGTATATTTTAACTTGTAAGTTTTTGATGAGTTATGTTGAGAAAATGTGTTCACACACACAAATGTGTTGAACACTCTAGGATCACTCACTAGGATTGCGAAGGGGCTAAATTGGCATATGAGCAGGTAAAATTGGAACAGTATGGGGGTTATTTAATTCGATTGAGAAGTAAATTGGAATTCCTAAATAGGGTTGTCTAAAACCAATCAGAAAGAAAATCAAACCTAAAATGGACAAATTGCAGATATCGTCTATCTGCAATATGTGGACGGTGCAAAAAAAAAACGGATAGCAAAATATGCAGTCAAAGCAAAGAGGCAAATGACAATAATTTGAGGTGCCTGTTGGATTAAAAAATCCTAATGTGAATGAAATGATTCTGGAACCTTTCCACTATTCCATTGAAAGCAAGCCAATATTTTTCGCGGAAAATATTGATTGTCAAAAAATTATTGTGAGAACCAATGACGAAGCCCAAAAGGATCAAAACAAGAGTAAATAAGACCATGAGAAAGAAAATGAAAATTTTCAAGTAAAAGGCACACACAAGCTAGAAATTAAAATCATATCAGATATAAAACTTAAGCCTTTAAGCTAAATAGTAATTCCGTCTTGACAAGTAGGACATAAGTTACCATGGTTAGATATATAATAATAAAGGTTTCCTAATGCGGGAGTTGTCTTTTAAAAAAAAGAAAAAACAAAGTTTCCAAATTAGTTACCTAATTAGTTTGAAAAAAGTTAGTAAAAAAGTTAACCTACTTTGGATACATTAAGTGGCAGTCCTAGTTCAATTTCCGATTAACCTCTCTCTAGAATCTATTATCCCCATCAGGGGTAAATTGACATTCAGTGGGGTTTTTTTTGTTGAATTATTCAAAATATTATCATATTTTCAATTCAATAATATGACGATAATTTGGGCATCTGAAGCAAATTAACATTTAACTTACTACACACTTTTTAGTATATCTTGAAATACCCTATGCCTAACCGAAGAAGATTTAAATTCCAGTGGAAAGTGAAGATTGGACCTATTTACCCTGTTTTACGGTACATCATCTTAAGATGTATGTTAAAGAAACTAATAAATTTATATCTATTCTTAATATTATAAAGCATAAGAGTTTGTTTGGTTGAATGCAGTTATCTCAGTAACTACTGTTACAAATTGATAAATTCTTAGTATTGGATAGATTAATCCATTTATTGATCTAGTCTATAATTATAACATATTGCTATAAGCAGTCGGAACCGAGCATTAATGAAATATGACGTAAGAACAGGCAAAAAATTATTCCTTTTGAGATATGCAGACAAAGTTGTGCTAAGTAAGCTGATATAATATAAATTAATGCATATGTTGTAAAAAAATAGTAAAATTAACTATGCTGTTTTTAAGAGATCCCTTTCATCTAAGAAAACTGAAATTAATGCATTTTCAGCTTTAACTAAAATTACCAAATGCACTTTTTAAATATAGATATATTTTATATTTGTCAGGACAAGGAAGTATTTTTTTTTTACAAAATTACCCTAGAAATAAATATGTATATGCTCACAATAAAAAAAGCTATAACAATTAGTTGGGTCCAAAGCCCGTTTTTGTAGCAGACTCCAAAATGGAAAAATACAAAGACTTTTTTTCATGCAACTAAACCAAATTCCATGAAAGAGCTATTGTGTAACAATTGTAACTTGTTTGTTTTGTGCTCTAGACAATAAATGGTAGGCGGATAAGAATAGAAGTATCTACTCAGGATAACGACCGCCGCATGGGAAGGGGGAACCGTTCCGATCGAGAGAGGTATGTTTTATTGTTATAATAGAAAACTGTATTGTGTTTTTATTACGAATGACAATGGTTTTTAAAGTTAAACCTTTTCGCCAATGTATGTAAATGAAAAAAATATAAATCTTAATAAGAAAGTCCATTGTCATTCTTATGCATGCATGCATTCCATTATTTTGTTAATAAAAGAAAGAAATGAAATAATAGATGTGAAAGTGAGAGCTTTCTTCTAAATGTTTTAACTTATCATTGTCAATATGCTTACTCATAAGTCATGTTCAATGTAGGGATTATGATCCTGAACGCACAATGGGAGATTGGCGGTCGGGGCCGCGCGCTATGCCGGACTCGTCACGACCGCGTAACCCTGACCGGGACAGGGAACGTGACAGGGAACGCGATCGAGAAAGGGACTGTAAGTATAAAAGACTTCTTACTAAATATTCATATTATTTTATATATCTATGCTAATGGTATAATGCTCAAGAGTTTGTTTGTTTGAATGCACTAATTTTAAAAACTACTTATTCGAATTGAAAAAATATTTTAAGGTTGAATAGCCCATTTATCGAGGAAGGCTATAGAGTATTATAACATTATGATACAACTAATAGGTGATGAGCATCAATGTTGCAAAAACGGGTCAAATTTATTACTTATTAGAGGCGGAAGTTTTGTGGGTCAGTCGGCTAGTATTTTCATTTAATTGAAACAAAATAACAAGGTAAGCTGGGAGTTATATTACATAACTAGCTTACCTTGCTTTCAGATAACCTTTTTGCTTTCTAAACTACGATTATATATTTAATGCTTGGGTCGAATTTGGAATTCTTAGTTCGCCACACAAGATTTTTTACTATTAAAAAATACATACAAAAAGAACAATGGCAGAAACATATTTACCTAAAACTTAAGCGTTTAAAAAATCGAGTCACAGTAAACTTAATCAAATTTTTTTCTATGATTTATCATTACTCCACCATGTGTTGTATAAGTCTTATAAGAGATAAGATATTTTTGAAGATTTTATTTGACCTAAGTACGTAATGTCAGATTCGCCATCACGCATAACTAACTAGGGATGCATGGTGGCAATATTATATTATGGAACAATTTATCGATAATCGATTCTTATAGCTTTGGCTGAAATATTTACCGAAGGTTCACTATTATGATTATGATTTTGCTTCTGCCCACGTCTTCACTCGTACGGTAGAGTGACTGAATCAACATAATTAGAAATGATTTAAAATATTTTTGACTCTCTTTAAACGATTTTAAACACACTAAAGTAATAGAATATAGTTACGTTATTTTCCACTACACAGTGTGATGAGAAAAATACATTGTTGATAACGGCACATAAATAGACATACATCGATATTTTCAAAATGTCGATACGTCGTCGTTTAGTACATATCTCTTAATCTGTGGTTTAGATCCTGTCAAGTTCCGGACTCACCACGTTTGTTATTTTATTTTTGTTTAATTTAGTGTTAAACTCGAATAGATGTTATGCTTTTATTTTTTTTTATTTCATATACTGTAATAATAATGAAAATAATATTTTCGGCAATCTGACACACAACGCCATCTAGTTTCAAACAAAACATTAACAATATGTTAGTACTTAACCTCGAAACATTCAAAATCCAATATCTTTTTTCCTAGACTTGTTTCGCAAGTAATTTTGATATGAGAATGGTCAAAAATAAATTCTCAAGTGTTAAGGATTTTTTGATATTTAAACGCTAACATTTCAGTTCAAATAAAATTATGTATGGGGACCTGCCATTGTCCTTTGCTCACTACAAATTCCACCCTTTTGCTGAATGAACTAATGACTTATCGTTTTAAACTTTTAAGCGTTACTTCGCTACTAACTTCAATAGCTAGACGCTGGACTGCCACTAATTAGTTCCATTATTACGTTGTACTTCTCAAAATACTAAAATGCCGGATTCCTTCCATTTTCGAATTCAAAATATCGAATATCTCCCCAATTTCGAATTCAAAATTTCGGATATCTATCTCCCCAATTTGGAATTTAAAATTTTGGATATCTCCGCGACAGTTGGACGTAGCAATGATTTGAAGAAAGGAAATTAAAATGAATAAACAGGATATCTGGCCCATGTCATCGTTTAACTGAAAAAACAATTTCCGAGCACGTGGAGCAAGAAGTCCACAAAATTTTAAAAAAAATATATTATTTTCGCTATTTACTCGGATTGCGTTTAAAACCCCCTGGCCCATTAAATTTTTTGATCCATAAATAAATCTTGAGAAAATATCGGGAAAAAATTTGGACTTCGTTTAATTTTTGTGAGTAGAGTATATCCTATTTAACAGCTATGGTTTCTGTAAATAATGACTTGCAAATTGATGCTTTGTGAAGCACTTATCACTTGTAACAATGGTAATACTAAAGCCATTAGTTATTTTCCAGATTAAATTATGCACCTAGCATAGTGCTTAGGTTTGTAATGCGGAAGTTGTCTTTTAAAAAACATTTGATTGTTTTGGCACAGCTCTGCTATTTATAAGTTACTAAAATCGCTTCGGGAAGGTCAGAGTATAGTCTTGTGTACCTTGTTGGTACTTAACCGCTTTACGGCGGTATCGCTTATAGCGATGGTGGGGACATCAGAGACTTAGGCTATAGGTTTGTCGAAGACTCCTACGGACGAAAGTTTGGCCGTTCCTACTCTTGGAACTACCCTTGACCTAGCTGTTTTAACCTAATCTGTGACGTGGCTTAGCTATAACTCAATTCAGGCTAGTCTTAGTTGGCTCCTTTTTAAAATTCTTAGCTTAGTTTATTATTATTATTTTTTAGTTTAACGCATTTTTTTGTGACAAATTATTAAACAATGTTATACATCTACAGCAAGCGCAGATAATCGGCCTGGCGGTTGGCGCGATGGTGACCGTCCCGCGCCTCCCGAACCTGCAAGAACGCCTTATGGAGGACGAGACTCATTCGGTCGTGATAGAGGATTCGGCGGAGAGTATGTATTATATATATGAATGAATCAAAATTTAAATATGTATTGAAAAGTGTTTTATGTACCATTTGTCTTTTTTTAGAAGCAGAGAACGTGGGTTTGGTGGTCGAGACAGCGAACGTAGTGGCTATGGTGGTCGCGACGGATTTCGAACAGCTGATCGCGAGGGTAGTAGTGGATTTGGGTAAGTAAAATCGATAATTATTGCTTAAATTTTCTTTGTGTATTTTCTTCAACGCTACTACTATATATATTGGTGTGAAATAAATACACAGACAGTTCTATATCGTACTACCTTGGTGGTAATCGTAGTTTTTTTATATAAAATGTTACATAATTTAAATTTCTTCAGTCGAAGAGAAGACAGCAGAGGTTTTGGCGGCAGAGGCTTCGGTGACCGGGACCGTGATCGTGATCCACCGCCGAGAGAAGGTATGTCTCATCTTATTCACAAAATCCATCATTGTTGTATTTCAATATTTGAATCGGTTACATGAAAGGGAACAGGAATGTGATGTAAACATGTCGGTAAATGTATTATGATATATGATTAAAAATAAATCATTGCCACTTTTTAAGGAGAGGCTTATGTCCAGCAGTGGACTTTTATAGGCTGTTGATGTGTGACTTTTTACTCGAGCAATTCTCGGCGGACGTTACATCATAGCGACTACCGCCAGGCTCGCTCGTTTTTTAATCTCTCCATATATAAATGTACGTGTGTACATGCAGATTCGAAGCCTCGCGAGCGGCCGAAGCTCAACCTGCTGCCACGCACGGTGCCGCGCGAGCCCGAGGCGGCCGCGGCCGACGACAAGCTGTCCGACAAGCAGCCGCCCAAGCCCGTCTCCGCCGAGAAGGTGTTCGGGGCCGCCAAGCCCGTTGACACCGCAGCTAAGTGAGTCATGTTCGACGATATTTATTGTTGTTAGAATTAACCGGCAAACATCACTGGCTTTGTCACATCTTCACTGTTACTGTCTTTGCACATTTTTATGTAAACAGCAGGATATCATTTCTTTGATATTTAGTGCAGTAAACGTGTGCTACATTAAATTTGGTTAATTAGACACCGGGTCCTGCCTTATGCTAGAATCGGTCGCTCTATACCTACATTTATTTATGGCTTCAAACATCATAGCAAAAATGTAAATGCAGCAACACAAATAATGTTTGCGTTAATAAACGGTCGAAACGAAAGGAATCTAAGGTAATTCTATGACGATTGTTTGATTACAATAGTTTCTGAATTTTTCTAGTGTGTTCCCCACTAGTAGAATATTGATTTTTAATTCTAAATGTAAATATAGAAAAACAATTGTAAGATAGTTTAGGAAAAAGTTCAGTTTCTGTCCATGTTGAAATTTATAATTAATTTAAGTTTTTTCATCCATTCTGCAAATATGTGAAACACAAGCACATTATTAAATCTGTTAAAAACTAAACAAATTCTTCTTAAATTACGAGGCTAATGGTTTTTTTTTATAAAGGCAAAAAATATAAATCTACTGGATGCATTGTTTTAAGTCCATCGCTGATCATGAGGATTTTAACTCATTTAATGTACAATTATTGATAACGTAGAATGTAAATGCATTATATTGCGATTTATAAATTTAAATTTGTTTGTGCACTATTGCTTTAGAATAAAACAAAATAAAACAGAAAAATGATTAAATGCTCTATTTGAAAGGAACCAATCTCGAAAAATTCTAATCAGTGTCAAAAACCTAGAGTTGATTTTGATGAATCAAAGTTGAACTTTTTATAAAAAAAAACATTTATTTCAAGGGAACGTGAAATAGAGGAACGACTGCGTAAGCAGGAAGAAGAATCCAGGCGCGCAGTTGATGAAAAAGAGCGTTGGGGCAGAAGGGTCAGTTGATTAATCATGTATTGTTAAAATTAATTTAATGTCATTTATATATAATAAGAATTTCTAATTTTAAATTTCCAGAATGACCATTCTGGTGATCGTCGAGCACCTGCATCTAATAAACGTGGTAAGTATGCAAATAATAAAAGCATATATCTTGCAAAATTGGAAAAAAAATAATTTTTAAACTTATTCCGGTTTTAGACGATCGCGGTAGAGACTCGCGAAATTATAACAGAGATCGACGGGACTACTCGAGGGACGACAAGGATAGACGCGATGACAAAGACCGTCGCGACCGAGACGACCGAGACTCGCGCCACGATCGCGATCGCCGTGATTATAATAAAGACGACCGCGACCGCCGCGACCACTCAGGTGACTGGCGCCCTCGCCGTGACCAATCGCCCGAGAAGCGCGATCGCCGTGACCATTCGCCAGAAAAGCGCGATCGCCGTGACCATTCGCCCGAAAAGCGCGATCGTCGTGACCATTCGCCCGAAAAGCGCGATCGCCGCAATCGCTCACTAGAAAGGCGAGATCGTCGCGATTACTCGGCCGAACGTAGCGAGCGACGCGAGCATTCAGGACAGCGGCGAGGTTCCCGCGACGACAGAGGCTACAGGGACGGGTCGCGGGACCGCCGCCAACAGTCGCGGGATGGCTCCCGCGAGCGCGACGAGCGCCTGGCACCCCGTGACGTGCCGCCCCGCGACTTGCCACCCCGGGACCAGCCGCCCCACGACGAGCGCAACGGCCGCGCGCCTCCTAGCCGCAGCCGCGACCGAAACGACGAGGACTACGATGAAAAACCCATGCCTAAGTTGAAAGAACAGGAGAAACCGGTAAGGAAATATTCATACCTCCTTAAAATATGATGTTTCGTAAAATTGAAAAGGGAAACATTTTTAAAAACCGTATTGGTTTTTGTTTCAGAATTTTGTTGCTTCAAACAAATTTAGTTTTTTGGAGAGCGCCGACGACGGCGGGTCCGATTAACACGCGCGTTAAATCAAGTTGCGCCACTTATTTGTATCCGTTTTACAATTGACTCGAGTGTAAAGTGTAAATTTACGAGTATCAAAGTGTCTAACGTATGCAAGGACTCGATAAAGCACGGAGACAATCTTAAATTGTGCTATGTAATAGAACTCGATATTGTTAGTCACTAGTGCGGTGTGGAAATACGTGTATATTAATAGGGTTGCTATATGCTCACACAGCTTCGATGCCGGCCCCAGTCTTTATTGTGACTTCTATGAAAATTTATGATTTGCCTGAACCTGGAAGGAGAATTTGCAGAGGAAGATACAGTAAAGACTGGGGCTATTCGTGACCATGTACTGATTTATGTAAATTTTTCTATGGGTTTGTTACAATTGTAATGTTAATGTAAATGATTTCAAAAATGGCAGAAAATAAGAGTTATTATTCCATTTAATTCTGATAAGAGCTGGTTTTAGGTCAGGTGCTGCACTTTTTTGTGAATAATGATTATTTCTTAATTTTATATTATAGCAATATTAAAATCCTTTTTGAAGGAATTTTACTGCAGTTAATTGCAAAACACTGTAGTGAATCTTATTTCTATATTTTAGAATGTCTTTTATGTTAAATATTTAGTTGATTTAGGTTATTAGAGTGTTAATTGTATTATTTATCTTTACACTCAAAATTTGTTACAATAATGTTAAGCCGTTTTCATATATTTTGCAAGTATGCATACTTTGTGCCTACCTTGATCGTGATCAACTTAGATAGATGATAATAAAAAGGTACCTAATTATTACGATTAGGGTTTGGTCACAATATAATTTAATGGTAAACCGGCCGTTTAATTTGTAATATTGAAGACTTTTCGTTTGGTATACTGTAATTGTGAAAAAAATAAATAATACCCTTTTTACTATAGCATTATTTTATTTTCACTACAATTTATTTGTAAAGAAAGAATATAACTACCTTTTGTGGAATACCAAGTAACTCATTGAAATGTACTTTTTAAATAATAATATTGAAAAACAAATCTGCTAACATTCCTCACAACTGATTGGACCGACCTTACCTTAAAACATAACTTATGTTAAAATAGTGCACTGTTGTGTCACTGACCCTGGCTTGGCCCCTATCAGGGATTTCAATTTTGATAAAACAGAAAAATTTCAAGGTTCTAAAGATATAAACGTTTATAGATATCCGACCTGGATTTTAATTTTTATAACACAAGAAATTGGTCACTAATTAGTCGAAATTTGTCGCCAAATATCAGAATTTGTCGGTCACTGGTTCTAAAGTTATGAGCGTTTATAGATGGCCCTGCTGGGGTCAGTCTCCCCAGACTAAATTTTGGTGAAAACAGAAGTGTGCGTTACCCCAGCAAAATAATGTCGAAAATGGTCATTTAAACGTTATAGATAATTAGTTGCTCCCCTTCTGTAATTGTTAGGCACATTTTTAAATTTGTTTCTCTTAAACTTTTTTAGTTATTTCAAAAAAACATTTCCTGCTGGGGTAACGTTTGAAACGTTACCGCAGCCAGACATTTTCTTTTTTAATTGTAATATTGAAATAAATTTTAGCTAGATAATTAGTTATCTGGACTAGGTAAATGTTACAACTTATTTGGTATTTGTATTTTCTTCGGCTGCGAAGTTATTCGAAATCCTGCTGGAGTAACGTTTGTGGGTTTGCTGGATCTCTGAAACGGGTAAGCGGATTGTAACCATCTTTTGTACATAACTTCTTAAGGATTAGTTTTAATTTGTTCGACAATAAAATAACAAAAATAATGGACCGTTTAAAAATTATTTAGGTAAGTATGAAAACACTTCAATACGTCCTAACACTTTAAATAAGACCTCTAAAGACTTACTTCAAACGTTATTCTTTTGCTTGTAACTACCTTCAAATGTATACGAATTTTCGTAAAAATACTATAAGTGACTAAAAAGTTATGATGAAATGTAGCTCTCCACGTTCACGATCACAATGTGTGCGGCCTTTTTTGGCCACCGATAAACCTGTGTGTGGATATATAAACTGAATGTTATGCCAATAATTAGTTGTTTAGTTCAGTTGTCTACCTGTAAAATTTCAGCGTAGTACATATAATAATTTACGAGATAATTAAATAAAAGTCATTAGAAGGTGCAAGACCGTGGTAACCCGACCATGTTTAGGTGGTTACAAAAAAGCGATCACCCAGTACATTGTGCTGGCTTTTAAAATATGTAGGATATTATTTGCAAGTTTACTACGGATATGTACATAAGTGTTACAAAAAACTACATGTTTTTTAAATAATTTTTATTTAGAATTGTTTATTGCATAATTAGTAATCAGCCGGGAGATTAGGTATTGTTTTGAATGCTTTTGTTTTCTCGTAATGTTAAGGTGAATTGTTTATAGTTGTTCATAGAATTGGTACCTGCGTAGTATTTGTTAATTGAAGTTTAATTTTAGGGTAGGTATAGGTAATTTAAGTTTTGAAGAGTGTAACGTATGCGTTGTAAATAGGTATTTTGTGAATAGATGGGGATTTTTTTAAGTGATGAATTGACTTAGGCTAGCATATCGCGAACAAACTCTGTATTGCAATATTTCTGTAATAATGTTGGAGAAAATAAAATATTAGATCACAAAATCGCGGTGAGTTAAATTATAATAAAATAAATTATTTATATAAAATTAGTAATAAGTGATATACCTACCTACAAGTTATGATCGTTTTTAATTGGTTCACCCTGAACAAAATTTCAATATTAGCATTAGTAATTAATATCCTAAGACAAGAATTGACAATTACTTAAATTGAATCGAATCAGCATTAATGCCCATTATTAGTAATTAGGTACACACATATTGAAGAACTCTCAAGAATACGATAAATATTTGCAAAAATAGAAAGCGGAAGCGCACACGTACTTTACAACACGTATATTATCTGCCTAGTATCCCTTCGCCCCTCCCCTCCCGCGTTCTAGCGAAGGATGTATTATCAGCGATTCTTGATTGACAAATATTATCTGACCAATAATTTTATCTATAAAAATGTATCACTTTCACTCGATAAATTAAATTACCGTTATTATATCAAAATATCATTCAACAACTGTTCGTTTTTAACAGAAATCAACAGTCACGGGCTCAACGCTTAACGGTAGGTACATAGGTATAGATAATTCTCGGTTCTCGGTATAGACTACAGAACAATATTACCTACTCTTACGAGGTATACGACTGTTGGGCGATGCAATGTTGATGCATTCTAATTTACAACTGTATTCTTCTACTATTCGGTCTATTTTAACTTATTGTAGATGACTTGTTGCTTTGAATATTTGGATGCATTCAAGTCTAAGCTCTATACACCCAAAATAAAATACAATTACTTTAGTGTTATTTCTTTACAAAAAAAAATCAAAGAAATGAAACGATTTCTTATTGGTTTAAATTTTCGATTTATTGCAGTAAGGTGAATCGTTCATACATGTATCTACATATTTATAATTTTAGCGGACCAGTGCAGATTTTCTGTTGATTGTAGCTCCGGTAGTAAAAAAGACTAAAGAAATTTTAAGTAAAGAAACTAGTGCTTAAGATCAATTGGGGAAAAACACAAAATAAATAATAGGTAATAATAATGAATAAATATTGAATGTATTTAACACTGTACGCAACTGTACCGAAATCGTAAGGTGTATTACACTAAACATTTTAAAAGACAGCCCAATAGACTGGGTGATCGCTTTTTTGTAACCACCTAAACATGGTCGGATTACCACGGACTTGCACCTTCTAATGACTTTTATTTAATTATCTCGTAAATTATTATATGTACGACGCTGAAATTCTACAGGTAGACAACTGAACTAAACAACTAATTATTGGCATAACATTCAGTTTATATATCCACACACAGGTTTATCGGTGGCCAAAAAAGGCCGCACACATTGTGATCGTGAACGTGGAGAGCTACATTTCATCATAACTTTTTAGTCACTTATAGTATTTTTACGAAAATTCGTATACATTTGAAGGTAGTTACAAGCAAAAGAATAACGTTTGAAGTAAGTCTTTAGAGGTCTTATTTAAAGTGTTAGGACGTATTGAAGTGTTTTCATACTTACCTAAATAATTTTTAAACGGTCCATTATTTTTGTTATTTTATTGTCGAACAAATTAAAACTAATCCTTAAGAAGTTATGTACAAAAGATGGTTACAATCCGCTTACCCGTTTCAGAGATCCAGCAAACCCACAAACGTTACTCCAGCAGGATTTCGAATAACTTCGCAGCCGAAGAAAATACAAATACCAAATAAGTTGTAACATTTACCTAGTCCAGATAACTAATTATCTAGCTAAAATTTATTTCAATATTACAATTAAAAAAGAAAATGTCTGGCTGCGGTAACGTTTCAAACGTTACCCCAGCAGGAAATGTTTTTTTGAAATAACTAAAAAAGTTTAAGAGAAACAAATTTAAAAATGTGCCTAACAATTACAGAAGGGGAGCAACTAATTATCTATAACGTTTAAATGACCATTTTCGACATTATTTTGCTGGGGTAACGCACACAAAACAGAAGGCATACCATGACGTTTTATTAAATGGTTCAATTACAGAGCAATTCAATAAAAGCTCCTAAACTGAATCGTATTACTTCTGACTTCTTCTCGGTATTGGTTTGATTCGCAAACAGATTGATGTGTTTTAAAGCTGTAGGTGCAATTGAATCCAGACATAGACGCAAAGTAATTGTCTTCACTCGAGTTCCAGAGGCCGAAAATGAAAACAGTACAGACATAGTATTGAGTCTCCTTAGTGGCAAGCTGGAACTGAGGTTTCCCGAGTCATCTATCATAACTTGCCATAAACGTGGAAGTTCCAAGAAAGGTCACAAGCGGCTCTTACTGGTAAGATTTTTATCCTTGGATGTCAAATCTACTGTGTGGAAAGTAAAGACCAAACACAATTGCACGAGTATCACACAGTAA